TCTCAAACCAGAGAGCAACAGGCTTTTATGCGGTACACTACCCTCATTCATTCGAGGTGTGCTACCTAGAGATAGGGGCTATCAGGTCGGAGGGCCATTCAGCCCGACAGTCAGGAAAGTACGGGTATTCAACGGTTAAACGTTAGTTGGGACAGGAAAAGCGATGGTAAGTGGTAAGATTATAGGCCCACTATCATATCTAGAGCCAATCTAATAGCTTCAAGCTTCTATAAAACTATGATGTGTTCCTGCAGCTGCTCTTGCCTGCTACCCATCGACAGCATCAGTTACATCGGAAAGCCAAAATGACTAGAGCTAGTAGTTCTAAGCGAGCACTCTTGAGAATCAGGTATCGCGAGGCCATGTCCACCCATATCTGTAAGCTTCGATCTCATAATAATTCTCAAATTACTGCTAACCTCTTCGTGGATAAGCGACTGGGTCTCACCATAGCACCTGGCCAGGTCCGGTTGCAACCCCTCCTAGGTAATAGTTACTCTTGGTCAGCCACGGGCACGAGTGCCGCACTCTTGAAAAAAAGTCTTAGTAGCGGCAACATTTGGTTCTATCAATCTATCTGCGAGGAGTTAGGGCGCTCTCTGGAAGCGGTGCCTGTGCAGGTCTTGAAGGGCACGGCAAAGGACAAAGCGAATAAGGCATACCCAGATTCTTCCAGAGTGGTTAGCGTGGTTTCTAACACTTTAAAATCTAGGGTCAGATCGCAGGACTATGTTCGAGTTCTTTTACAGAAACGATTTTGCGGCTTGAAATTGCAATTTCCAAGCTGAAAGAAGAGTTGAGCTGCGCTTATGAATATCTGAACTAGTCACAGGCCGAAAATAACCGACTAGAACAAGCCCTCTCTCACACTCGCAACGAGCTAGAAAATTCGACATTCGAAAACAGCAATTTGAGGAACGAGCTATTGAGTTCATAAGTCAGAATTGCTAAGGCAATTCAAGTTTTGGAAGTAACAGCGGGGAAGACAGCAACCGAAAGTCCAGAGGATCTGCAGATGGAAGACTGATCCAAGCCGTATCCCTGTAATTAGAGTCTCCCAAGAACTATTTTTGCCTTTTTAACCCACCTAGAAAATTACAATCGACAATAACGTATAGGTGCAACGGCGAAAAGGAGAGATGTTGTCCGTACTTAGTGCTCTCCTAGGCAATAGTCAGTCTTGTACACACCGTTGAGGTTTACCGTCTCTAATCTGCTATCCCGTGAAATTCCAAATCAGCTTTTGGTTATGATCACTTTGGATTAAGGCCCTGTCGTACTTCTTGCACGTTGACGGCCCCAGATATTCAACGGCGATAAACTATTGTTATTCCTCAACGGCACTGATCGGGCGTTGAAAGATACGGTGAACAACTTTTCACCGCACTTATCTGACGGAATTCCCACGCCTACACAGCACTTCTGGAACTTAGATAAAGCCGACGCCTATAGGAACCCTGCTCTGGAATTTCACGACACATAAGGTGATCAAGTAATATTCAGCTCTCTTCTATCCGATTCAACTTTAACAGGCAGAATAGGCTCTGAAAACTGTTGCCCCCCGTGGACAAGACATACCGCAAATCTCTAATCACGCGTTGGATTGGACGAATTATTATTTCGGCCTATTCATTATTCACGGTCTTCTTTTCTTGATATATAGTAAGACCCTGAGCAGCCGGATAACTGAATCTTATATTAATCTCCTTAGTTTGAGTGCTCCCCTTACCGATTCTCAACCACAAAATTGGATGTATCGTTCAATCCTCGGAAGGTTCCAAATGACAGTCTACTTAGAGCGATTGATCAGTGATAGAGCTCTAAGGGGTTACGATTTAGGAATAGTGTGCCGCTCTGAACACCCTTTTCTTTCTCTCGACTAGTTCACGCAAGAGCAGAAGATGATGATTTATTTCGACCGCCTCTCCATAAAAGCCGCTATTTCCAACCCAGTGAAAGGTCTTCTCTGCCGGATGAACAGGTACAAGCAAGGGTCTTTCCGAAATACTTTGAGAATCCTGCCCCGAAGAATTATTCAGTCCAACCAGGCCACGGAAAAACGCTTGCTATTCCAGGACCATTCTCGAGGTAAGCCGAGACAAAGTACCCACCCCTAGTGTCTGTGATCGTGTATTTCAATCTTATTGGCACCATTAATGACAGGCTAGAACATCCGTTCTCGATTTTAGTCCGCCGTATCAACATTCTTCAGTCTTTCGGAGCGCTACACCGAGATCAGCTATCATTAATGTGGCAACTTTTGATCAAAAGGTCCCCGAGTGCATCAGTTATGTTGCTCCTAACCTATCCGTTTCACTTATCTATCGCACAGCATTTCGGCCCAAAAAATGCGTTCTTTACGGTGAGATTGCAATCACGGCTTAGAGTAATCTAGTCAATCCTTCAGCTCATGCTTCTTTGACAGGAACCATTATTATGCTATACTTCTCTCAAGCGAGTTCCCAGACCCTCTCGTGGACTCCGTCAGATCTCAACCACATCGACACCCAGGAAGCCAAAGAAACAAAGCGACGAATCAATAGATCCCCATAACGTGTCCACGCAACAGATACGCTTGGTTTTACATACCATAGTTGTCCTTTCCGGTTTGTTACCTGATATAGAGATCCGTTTGGAGAGACGGAATAACTTGGTACCAATAAGTTACCACCCCGACGATAACATCCTTTACGTCGACCCGATTTGGCAAAACTCTGTTATTCTGCATTGTATCTTTCCTTGCACTGCGTCGAAATTAGCGTAGGAGGATTTGCCCCGATCCAGTGGCCTATGCGATCATCTTCTGGAAGAGCTCTGCCGGAAGGCACTTATTGTGATGCACACTCAACTCCCTCTCCCGATATCCACTCAGAATTGGGTTATTCGGTGTATAAGAAACAGTCTCTGCTATATGCCCCGTTACGTGACGATTGACAAATCTGGAAAAGCTCAACTGTCAGTCATCTGGACGACCAAAGGGTCCGAATTCCCGGTTTTTGCGCATCGTTCTAAACCCGAGTATCATATCGTACTTCATAGAGACACCTGCGATGCTATCGATTCATCGCTATTTCATGGACACTCAGGTAGGTACTCCAAGAGACACATGTTTCCACCTGACCAATGGTTGACTCCATGGCTGATCACTCTATCTTAGTTTGCTTTCCGGATCAGAAGGCACTCTGTGGCTGTCGACAACAATTAGTTTCAAATAGCCGGACATCTGTCACGTTTGCTAATCTCGACTGTTCTCAAAAATATTACGCTATAGTCTCCGTCAATCAGGATATAGCATTTTGGGGGGTGTCTACGCTCTCTGCCTATCCCGATGCAGGTGACAACTGCGATGAGGCGGAGGAATGCCACATAGCTTTCTTCGAGAAAGCTTCACAATCAAGTCGCATTCACTGTCAGTCCCTGTCGCCACTCCACATAAAAGTTTTACAAAAGCAGCAACGACAGGGGATAGCTGAAATAATTCGGACGTACTCTCGCGTACCGGAAAAGAACCGCCGATTGTAAGACAAGCACAGCCTGTTATTCGACTTTTGAAATTTGACTTTGATTCATCTTTACTAGTTATAGCAGGCTGTACCCTGATGAATTCATATTGTTAGAAACTGTGAAGATGAGGGATAGGATCTAGGAGGAGCAATAGCATATACTAGCAATTGAATAATATTGAAGGTGTCATCAAACTAAGATAACCCCTGAGTGGAAGCGTGCTATTACACGCTTCCTAAATATCCGCTTTACTATACAAAGCTAGCGTGTCTCAGGGAAGACTGAGATTCGACAGAAGTTCTCAGTCACATAATATATATCAAGGAAGCCTCAGTGGTATCGAAGACTGCTGAAACCTCAACAGAAACAAATATACTTTGTCTCTAAGGACTTCCCGGCTATTTTATGTATGCTCCGATCCCGATAAATCAACGGGATAAGACTCGGCAAACCCCGCTTCTATATATCTTCACAGAATCCAATACGCCAGGCGTTGTAGAAAACCTATTTCGAGAATGAGTTATGATCTAACGCCTCGTTCATATTGATCAATGCTATAAGAATTAATATAATGTAGCGTCAAATACCTGGTATAAGGAGCATCCTTTAATCAAATTTCTAACATAAGACCTATTCGGTTATGAGTCTCTACCCGGAGAAAAGTTCTAACTACGTCAAATCAAGACCTATACGTTAAATTTTGACGTAAAGTTTGAAAGATTCAACTCCAGAGTAGACAAGGACGTGGTTAACTAATCTGAGGAGTAGGCTGAGGGAGCCGTCAACTAATTTAAAGACGGGATCGCACCCCGGACTCTCGTATCGTCAGATTGAGCATCGCACTTAGCCTTATGATTGGCATAAATACTAGGTCGCTGCGAGACACGAGGTAGCACCTTGATCCTACACTCCGTATGCACTAATTCGGAGTTGGATTCTTGGCGTGAGTAGAGGCGTGATTGTCCTACTAGATTGACGTCGCTCTCTTGCCGGGCGTATTCGGGTATTTGATGAGCCAGAGGAGGAGGTGATATAAATCCCAGCTTTCTCAGGCGATTCAAGACCGTGAATTCCAGCTTCAACTTGATACTATAAACCACGGTTTTGAGGCTGACTTCGATATAATGAAGCTTGTACTCGGCCACGAGCAGCAGTATATTCATCAGGACAACAAGAATATTAATCCAAAGTAAATGACGAATGATTTTCCGGTCGTCTTGGCGATGTAGGTCTCGCTTAATGCTCCTTTGTTCTAGCGCTTGATGAATATAGACCCCGGAGAGAACGAATTCCTGTATACAGAATCCGGTCACCTGGATCCGATCATAGATAGCTGCCGGTCGAGCGAACACGCTTTGACCACTATTCAGACCGTAGAAGAGTACCGTTATCGGAATATACAGTACGAAAAAATTTATAACAATCATCCACAGCACCCAGCGGAGCTTCATAGGGTCAGTCGCGAGCACATTCAGGCGGGAATAGAGTACCACGGCCTATCCAGTCACTATGGCATACCACCCCAAAATGAATGGAATTGACATGGCTAGGTTGGATGACTGAGATAGAAATCGTATCATAGCTAGGATCGTATGGACCAGTATGCCCCATGATGCTACCTGCATGCTCCAGAAATATAGCCCGCGGTAGTGTTTGAACAAGTCGAACACGGCAATTCCCGTCTCCAGGGCGTTGTAGGCACCGATAGAAAGCATGGATATAATTTGAATAATGGAGATATTCTCGATGAGGATGGTTCCCACATTGGGCGGCAAGTTGGTAATGATTGTGTCCATGGCAGTGTAGGACGGGATGAAAAGACGAGGGCTGTGAACTGAGACAAACGAGATCAAGTGAAATATCATGTCATGGCCAGATTATTATTATACCTGCTTGTGTGACATAATCCGACAAGAAGGGAATTCAATTTGTAGAATATCCGACGGGAGTTCACCTTCAAAAGTCATGATGTCCTCTATTCGCGCGATTTCGCTTTACGAACAAGATGAATGAGAATAAGTACGATTAATTTACTCCGCATCCTATCGAATCTCTGCGAATCAGTACTTGTGAAAACTCCGAGTCTAAGGGGTTTTTTGGTTTGGAGAAAAAGAGCTGGGTGACCCTGATAGGGAATTGCCTGAGTAAAGCCACAAAAGTTATTTTTCCTGGAGATCCATGGGTGAGCAATCATTGGAATTATATTTGTCAATGACGGTGTTCGCACTTTTGTGGGCGGAAATGCCCCTGTTCCAACAACCCATAAGTCAACAATAGAATAGACAAATAATGCAGGTACAAATCCCTACAGCTGATCCACGGAACACGCTGTTTTAAGTCATATTTCCCAGGAATTAACGGCTTTGAATTTAGACTTGTACGTCTTGGTTGATGCCAGTAGGTCCTGAGAAGTCAAGCACGCACGACTCTTACTTATTCCGGCCTCTCAAGGTGGGTAACTGGTACCCTGGTCATAGCCGTCCCAGACTCTCCGAAACAAATCATTCTGTCTAAGGAAATCTCATAACTAAAAAAGATTACATAGCCTAGAGGGCAAGTCAATTTGGTTCCTATTGACAGTTTTAGGCTTTGGGGTGCTGTTATCTGGAAGGAAACTTCTAGAACGAAGGTCTTTGCATTTTGACCCACTCTAGTCCTTTACAGCCAGCAAGACCCAGGCAGCGCGCAGCCTCTGCAAAATAGCTTGCGGTAAATCTACTTCTTACTAGCCAAAATAGAGGGAGCTAGCTTTTTACCCCGGGCCAGGGGCTTTCAGTTTGTGGCTACGTAGGCGTTGCTATAGTCATGCCCTTTAACGTGAACTCAGCACGTTAATTAAGGAAATCTTCTTTTACGGCATTTCAATAGTTTACGAACCGAATCTTAGCAATACGCTTTGTGATAAATCAAGTTGCTGCTGTGGAATTTCCTAAATTAAGAGAGGTTCCTTATTTCTCTTGCCACGCCAGGTCCCTCGATCATCACATTATAACCAGATACACAGAGGAAACATCATACCTTTGATTATCTTACCTCCATTCAAGAGTCAAAATCTAGCAGATACTCTAGATAGGCCTGCGGGTGTTAAGCTTTAGGTTAGTGTAGCATTAATCTGAAACAGTTCCTGTTGTAAACAAAGAACTTAGGTGAATTCAACGCCAGGCTCCATATTACGGATGGTTCAAACAGAGATACATTATAGTGGAATTATTTGCTGTGACTTTATCATTTTAGTGAGTCATTTTGCTAACATTGTAAGGTCATTTTGACCACAATGAAAGTGAGGTGTAGCGATTTTCCCCATCAGGTTCGGAATAGTAGTGTGCATTTTGCATGCTTTTCCCCCAAGTTGTATGTTTCTGCAGGCGGGTCATATTTCTCTTTAGCTAGCATCAATTTAGCTTCTGCACTAACGTCTTCTTAGCCATCGGTGAGTTGTCTCAATAGCACCAAGGCGCAACATTTTGATATTAATTCAGCATTTGTAGGACCTGAATTCTAGCCAGGGGCGTCTCATGTTTCATATTTTGTTCATGATCGCCTATATATAATCGATCAGTTCCCCATTAAGGGGAGCGACTATCGTCTTTATTTCTCTTACTCGCGAGCTTCCAATTGTCCTTGGGCTGAAATTCCACGATGCGACCCCACATTAAGTCTACGCAGAGTGAGAATGGTAGCTTAAGATCAAACTCAGACTGCAAAATCAGCGAATTAGCAAGAGCTCATTCGCGACGATCGGTTGCCTCTGACACCGCTGAACACCGTGTACTGCGATCAGTCAAGCGCTCAGCTACGGATCAGGTAGGTTTCTTCGGTTTCTTGAATCCTTCAATTAAAAGTAGCCTTTTGCTCGCCCTTTTCACAATATTTGATCCCATGTTAACTTTGACTACAAGTTGTCATCCCCACACAAAAGACCTCGAGAAGACGACAGCCAAGACATTTGGTCAATTCACAGACAATGCTTAAAGCAGGCGAGCAATTTTCAGAAGGAGCTTTGCAAGGCCTGGGAGGACCAGGACCGAGAGCGAACTGAAAATTCAGCAGCTCCAAATAGAAAAGGCAGAAGAGATAGCCAAATTGAGAAAGGTACTGGCGGAGAACGAGAAAGTCTCGGGCGAAGCAAAAAAATTACAAATGGAGGTTGGTCAGTTGCAACAGCAGCTTGAGTCTTTCAATTCCACCATGCAGGGCCAAGTGGCATAGAATGATATCCAGCCGGCGATATATCAGGCACACGGTGACCTGGTATCAGCTGCCACGCAGTTCTGGAGGAGTGTGGAAACGATTCAAAACCAACAGCTAGCTACCTATTTGCCAGGTGCCGGAGTGGTGCATAGGGCGTGGCCTGGTCAAGGGAGCGCACCAGAGCCTCTGATTTCTACTTCACTACCGGAAATTTCTGGACTGAGCGAATATTCCATTCTGCCCCACCAAGAGCCAACAACTACAAACTAAAAAACCACCCTTGCTTTAGGGTGAATAGCTAAAATTGTGATGCGATTGTATCTTGCCGTTGAGTCAGTTTCCAAGGTTTGAATGTGATTTATCTAGCAGAAAGCCGACATATTCTGATATCAGAAATCTACATAGACCACAGTCCTTCTAGAACTATACTATGTAGAGACAATGCATAACGCATAACATTCTGGTTGTGGGTACCACCCCACGTTTGAAAAAGCCTGCCCTTCGGGCCGCACGGGGGGAACTTAGTAAAGGGGTCCGCTAGGCCCGTACCCATACTTTTTTCATCCTTGGTTAGACTTCTTCCGCAATAACAAATTCTTCCCCAGAGGATATTCCGCGCCACCGCCGATCAAGGTTCGCGGTCTGGCCCTCGTATCAAATGACTCCAAAAACTCAATTGAGTCTGGCCCACCGAGATGCTAAGGCTCACAGATTCTCCTCAGAGCGTTCGATGCACATTGTGGGTCAGCACTGACAGAAATCATAGGCAAAGTCCAGCCTTCCCCGCCCAGCAGAGTACCTAAAACACTTTCAAACTTTCGACAGTAATCATGATCGGCCGGGATTTACGATCCCGTAAAAGTTTTGTGGTACAGTATACAGTTTCCTCACTCCCGTTGCATTTCTCGCCGTTCTCCGGATACCTCATCCTTTACCCTTTTTACAAGGGTTCGTGTTCTAGATGCAGTGCATGAGTTCGCAATATTGTTATAGATCAGCTATCGGCGAATACCATACTCAGAACGTCAATTCACTTAAACTGTCGATTTTTACTAGTCTTTTGCAGACAAATTCGAAAACAGTTTACCCCCCAGAGACAGACGCTTTCTCTCCCAAAGACCCACATGGGCGTCTAGTTCGGGTTCTAGACTCACCTGCCGCCAATGATACGGCGTTATCCCTCACGGAAGGGGCTTAGTCTAGCCAATATTAGACTAGCGCAATCTGAGTGGGGCGCTGAGAAAGAAAGGAAAGTCAATGTGTCTGGGGGGAAACTGTTTTCGAATTTGTCTGGAAGCAAAATGTATGATAGTCCTTTATAATCACAAAGTAGCGAGGTCACCATTATTGAGATCAATCCCTGGCGCAGCAAAAGGCTGGTGACTGAAACAGGTCTCGTTCATCGCCTCGAAACCCGTCTTCGCTCAGTCTGACGATTTTCCGAAGAAGCCTGTTTCTCGTCTGGATCAGCCTTGCTGATTTTCTCCTCCATAATAGCCAATCGATTGAGGATGTTCGCCAAATCGCCGCGGACCAATTCATTCAAGCTTTCTTGGTTATTCATGGAGGATTCCACATTCCTATATCAACATTTAGCGCACAAATTCCCTCAGATAATGCACCCAAGGTTGGCTTACTTCATTCGGACATCTAGCCTTTGCCAAATGCAATCTTAGCGCAAGTAATTCAAAGGTCACGGCTGGGATACTCACTCTGCAACACATTCCAAGGCAATCATATCGCGATCTTCAGGAAGATCTCTCTGACCTTCAATCTTTTCCACATCTCGAGCAGTCGAAAACAACGCAGGATCAATCTAGGCCTCGTAGTTACGACCAACACTGCCGCTTTGCACGCTAGATCCATCGTTCTCCGAGTGAATTGATAGCTAGTCCTCGGCAGTGTCACCAGCGGATGACTTAGACGTACTATAAGTATCCTCTGTTTCGAAAGAGGACAGGCTCAGGGCACGTTGTAGTTGTCTCCGAAAATCGGGCCGTCGAGCGGAATACGTAGACTTTCGAACTGCTCCCATGTTGGCGTCTAGAACCGGGGAAGAGGTCGCGTGGCTCTTGTTTCACGTTGTTGAGATGAGGGCCATTATATAGATTCTTAAATCGAGCTACAGTGTTTGACTTTTTTGATTTTAATTCACAACTCTTGCCCATTGAGTTGTAGCCAAAAATCCCATGGTTTTCCAAACTTTCCATTTCCAGCACCGCATATTGTAATCAGTTTAAGACCGTCTGAAGTTTTCTCAGGTCAACGTTGATAGTCCCACAAACTCAACGTGCACTTCGTCCTATTAGACAGCAACCAGATTGTGTCCACAAGGTACAGAGCCATATATGCATGAAGTCGAATGGCACCAACTTGAAACTCTTCGTTTCACCGTTGAGATGTTCAATTATCAACATGACAAATGATTTGTTCTCAGTCCCACGGTTCGACCTAAAGTATATTTAACGTTACATTCTCCACCTCTATAGCAAAGGCGTTTGGAGTACGTCCCCCCGGTTCTTTTCAGCAATGATAAGAATTACTTGTGTTATCAACGTTGAAACGGGTTCTGTCAATCAATTTAGTTGGCCTAAATCAAACAGCCGGAATATGTTACCTAATTGTGCGGCGCTCCGTTGCTCAGCGGGCATTAGTTTATGCGAAACGAGTGGATTAAAGCTCAACAAAGCCTACCTACCTGCCTCTATTTGTTGTCATAACCAGCCAGCCTCTAACCATCGCGATCAAGATTATCACCATATACTCGCGCAGTGCAACACCATGGTCTAAACGGGAGGAAGATAACCTTCTTCCCTGGTTAAAGGAGAACAGCGAACTGCCATGGATCGCTCGCCCTGATGCCTATTTGGAACAAGTTGGGGTGAAACGGTCGGTTGAATCCTTACGAGGGAAGAAATATCATATCCTACGAAAACGTCGCCTTGGTCGCGTTAGACCGTCGCGGCGGGCGACAACCTCAAAGAGCCGGGGAAAATCCCGACGTCTGAGAGCCACCACACGACGCAATCTTTCGAGCAGTGATTCTAGCAGCTGCGGAAATGTTAGACGATGGCTCTATGACATTCCTGAGGGTGCGCCAGATGGCGTCAAGAGTCAAGAACTGCCGTCGGCCGAAGCATCGTCATATGGTATGAGAAGACCTTCACTTTTTCTTTGGTTCAAAGCTTATTATTTTGCAGCTCATGAATCATATTCACCGAGTCGCGATGGACGAGAGAATCGATCATTTTCCAAGCTCTGGAACTATGTGCACTGGGTCTGTGAGCAAAGACGGCTTATTTAATGCGATCAACAATGTATGTTAGTGATTGAATCTTCAGGTACGCTTTGGGTGATGGAAAAGCCAAGGCATTTCAAAGACTTTGAATACTATTCAGCATATGATTTCATCATAAAGCCTACGTGGTAATATATCTAGTCTTGCTCAACCAGAATACAGCCCAACGAGATAACAGGCTCTTGGAGACAACACGAGGTGCTCCCTTCTCACGCCGATAGCGAGGCGGTCTTTTGCAATAACCCAAGGTCCAACCATCCAAAGCATGGCATAGGGCCACAAGCATTTGCTATGAAATGCTTGGGGCTCCGCCATCCGTTTAGATCGCACCTATTGTGTCAATTCACGTAATTTTACTATGCTCAATATGTTTTAATGGCGAGTGTCTGAAGTTGCTGTATATTAATTTGAACTATGCAGGGTACACTGCTGTACTTCTCTAATTGCTTACGGCCATTATCATCCCATTTACCGCTCTGATCCATCGGACTACGTGAACAGAATAATAAAGTAGCCAGCAGGAATGACTTTTTTCCGGTTTGTCAAGTGTCAAGTGAATTCGGTCAACAGCCTCCGTTTGCAGTAGTAGGTGAGAAACCCGACTACTGCAGTCTAATTTATTTCACACGCAATTATGAATAGCGGGAAAGACTGGTCATGTGTTGATACTGGTACTGATGTGTTGACGTGTTGATGGTGTTGATGTTGTTGATGGTGCTGATGGTATTGATGGTGTTGATGGTGTTGATGGTGTTGATGGTGTTGATGGTGTTGATGGTGTTGATGGTGTTGATGGTGTTGATGGTGTTGATGGTGTTGATGGTGTTGATGGTGTTGATGGTGTTGATGGTGTTGATGGTGTTGATGGTGTTGAAGGTGTTGATGTTTTGATGTTGAACGGTTCCACATGCTTTAGCCAACGTGGACATCCCGGCGTTGGGATTTCCGACTATACCACATATTTTGATTGCCCTCAATTCCAACATTTTACCGGTGCTGGCTACGCAACAAAGAAGCTTGGGTGGATTAAAATTTCACAATACCTGCCAGTACAGTACCAATTTAGAGCACGCTATTCATGCTAGGTAACCACCTGTGACTTATTCGGTAGGAAATCCTCAAGAGTAATAATTATTCATGTCGCCTTTCCATTCCTAAGCTAAATCTATGAAAGGTCGGAGATTATTTATAAAACGTATTTGCCACGGAGCAACCCTCAATTTGGTAACAGGAGGGAATAGACTAGATGTTCCCGGGGTAGGCGAGGCTCCCTGGAGTCTGCGTGGCGAATCCTGGTCTCCGCTGCGTTCCTGTAGCCCAACAGGATTGTTCCTCGCTGTGACGATCTGAGATGTTCATGCGATTGAAATTGCGTTGGCCTGAGAGGCATGGCCACAGCAGGCAAGGCTGCCCGATCGGGCAGACAGGAAGTTTTCAGGAGAGAAACTCCAGCTAGATACTTCTCTTCTCTTCCTTTCCCTCTCCAGTCTTGATACTTTCGTTGAAATGCACAAGTTGATTTGATCTGCTTTCTGGCACGTAACACTCGCGACAATTCACTATGCTCCTGGAAGCAGCATTGGGCTCCTGGGACCAATGTCAGGTTTGGAACGGCTGAAAAAAGCTGGAGAATCTTTTTTGGTGTTCATGAGCCTTGGCCCAGCATCCATGTTAGCTCTATATATTACTAGCAAACAGTCTGTGTTCGCTTCCCTCAGGACAGCCAGCTTTTGCACCATCATGGCTTCCTCTTCATGGCTTCCCACAGCTACCCAGAACCATTTTTCGGGTGAAATCTATATCACTGGACACAGAATTCTCTGCACTTTTCTGCTCGGCAATAAAATAGGTGTGCATTTTTTGAAGCTCAGAATCAACTTGTCTTCAGCAGGATCGAGGTTGTGCTCATGTGTCACGTGATAAGTACTTAGTAGAATTTGGGGTTATGACGGAGTCCCCCTCCTCTCATTTCCATAATTTCTCTTATCGCCCCGTCCACGGGTTGCCTACACCGTAAATACGTCGCCGATTCGCCCCTTTCAGGCAGGACGGACCTCCCTGAGATCTCTACAGTAAACGATAGGTCGTACCTCTACACTCATACACTCCTTGTCCTCGTAATTCACGCGACCGGCGTATTTGTTTCAGCAACCCCTCGGCAGTCTCTGCTCTCCTTGCTTGTGCTTTATTCCAGCTGAAGGCGGCAGATTCTCTGGTTCGACAGTGAATACACGTGCTGTAGCTTGAAGGAGTTGCAACGATCGACAAGATATTTCGTGCTCGATGGAACATGGTCGCAAATCAACACCCGAATGGCTTACAGATTTTCTTTCCCCTGGACAACTGACTTTTTCTTTCTTCTGCTCGCTTCGCAAGAAGAACCGCCGCCGGCCGTCTTCTGTTTTTGGTTGCTACAGACCGCCTTAAGAGAGTCACATAACACCGCCCCGCGAAGAACACATAGCCAGGATCTTCGCTGTTTGCAACGTTACTGTCTCGCGGAGACTCGCGCGAGCCCATCATGTCGTCGGCTGTAGCGGAGCTGGATAGCTACCTTCGGTCCATGCTGGCTTTGAAGCCTCCCGGGATTACAGGCTCCAAGGTTCACAGTATCACCAGACTGTGCACCGCCAATGTTCAAGTAGGACACGTTCCCTACTCCTGAGATATTTGATTGTTGAGATGGTTGAGACTGTGAAGATGGCTGAGATGAAGTTGATGAGATGCTAACCCTGCACCCCAGGATGAACCCGCTCTCATCCAAAAAGTCTACACCCACTTCAAGAAGGCTCCAGCCACCCACAAGCTGGGCGTTCTCTATGTGGTCGACTCTATAGCCCGGCATTGGGTGGACGCCACTCGCAAGGCTGGCCGGCCTCCACGAAGCGCCGCGCCGGATGGGACTACGCTGGTGGTGTCGATCGATTGACCAAGTTGTTGCCCGTGTTAATGACCGACATCATCGACAATGCCCCGTAGATCAAAAGGTACGCATACACTAGGCGTGAATGTTCAGGCTGGGGCTGGGCCTCTGGGTGCCAATCGCGCCCAATGACCGTATTCTCCCGCGACCGCTCAACCTTGGACATGGTGCTGGCAGTTTTTTGCGTTTTCATTGCTTTGCAGATCTTATCACTCACGTATGCCTTTCTGGACTCTGTAGGAAAAGATCAAGAAGCTTGTCGACATCTGGGAGTGCTGCTGCTCCTTCCCGCCCTCTATGCTCAACTCATTCCGCGAGAAACTGAACGCTCCACTAGTAAGTACCCACCTTCGGATCTTTACCCTCATCGTCTTCTGATTCAATCGCTTCTGGCATGGTTCATAGACGTTCAGTCCAAAGGCTCACCGCGCAGCTTCAAGCCTGCCAATAGCTCGCCCGCGGCAACAGATACCATCGGCGAACTCAAGCCGCTGGCCGATATAGCTAAACAGAGCGCGGTGACGTCTGCTTCTCCCACCAACCCGCTCGCTACCCTAACCCCATCAGCCGCGGCTCTGCATCTCGCCTCATCTGTCGATTCATCTCTCCTGCCACCCTCGACGGCTAACCCATACACAGGTGCTGGTGCTAGTGCTGGCGCCATAGTCAAACCATCTGCCGCTTTTGGTGGTGTTGGCGAGAACCTTGCCATGCCGCAACCCCGGGGCCATAGCCAGACCCCGAGCCCATTGGGAGCAATGCTTCCGCAGTGGCCAGCCGCCGCTCCGGCGATAGATAGAAACGCGATGTCCCGGCAGCTTCCCCTGCTGCAATTACTGTCGCAGCAGGGCATCTCGCAGGACCAGTAGGCTGCGGCCCTGCAACTCGTCACTATAGCCGATACCATAGGTGCTGCCAGCCCCGCTCAGCTTCCTGGATTTAGCGCGATACCCTGCCAGGGCTCTGGTAGCCTGGGCCACCCGGATGTGCAGAACCGTGTCGATCGTGCTCGCAGGAGGGATCGTGACCACTCTAGCTCTCCTCCCGCTGGGTACGGCCGTCCTTCTCACCTGCCCGGTTGGGACCGACGTCACTCTGCCTCGCCGCCTCGCCGCCACGATAGGCCAGTGCACGACCAGTATTACAGTGATTCCACTAGGCGCCAGGGCGATACTCGCGATGCTGGAAGTCGTCAGAGTAACGAATACCGTAAACGTAGCCCTCCACACTGGAAGCTCCTGTCTCAGTCCCCGCTGCGGACAGACCATAATCTCCCCTCGCCTGGCTCCAAGCTCGTCGAGTGGGACTATTCCATCGGCCCGGGTAACATCAAGGTTCTGAGCCGCACCCTCTTCGTCAGTGGCATCTCCTCTAAGGCTCACCTCCGTTCCCTTTTCAACAAATTCGGCGTCGTTCAGACCTGTATTGTCAACACTCAGAAGCGTCATGCGTTCGTTAAGATGATTAGCCGCCAGGATGCGGTGAGAGCTCGCGAAGGAAGAGAATCATTCCGTTCAGGCGAGATGAAACTCTGCACCCGGTGGGGCGTTGGTTTCGGCCCGCGTGACTGCAGCGACTATCAGACTGGCATCAGCGTCATTCCGATCGAGCGACTTACCAATGTGGATCGCAAATGGCTCCTCACGGCGAAGTACGGTGGCAGCGGAGGTCGTCCCATTCAGTCGGGAATGGTTGTCGAGGAACCAGACATCGAAATTGGTGCTGGCTCCTCATCCAAGGCGATCAGTCGACGCATTGCGGCTAGCACTGGCGGCAAGCGTGGCCGGAACTCAGACTGCTTTGGCGGCGGTCGCGGCGGACGTCCAGACCGTAATGGTTTTGGCCTTCGCCGCAATTGACAAGCAGAGGCACCAACTTGAAGCTAATTGGTCATTGGCATGGTGTGTCACTGTCTCGGAGCACCACATTGTTTCTGAGAGTACTCTCTCACGAACAATACGCACAGGTATTGGACGTTGAGTAGTGCTTTTAGATGCTGGGGAGTGGCAGCTGCAATATCAACGGCAGCTAGTTGCTCATTGTTGGTTGTTCGAAAGATTTTTCTCACACACTACCCGCGGCGCGTGGAGCTAAATATACATTGTTCAAGACCGTAGGTTGGTTGAACTTCCACTGGGGTGCAAGCTGCGTCATTTCGACATTGTCACTGGACCTCCCGCCTGGCCCTATATCCCGCGGTGGGATTGCAGGCTGCTGAAGCAGTTCCGGCCCTAACAGGTGTGACTGGTGGCGGTGGAATCCGGCATCTACGGCGGTTGTGGTGTTGATTTGGGGGGGTAAAGGGGCGTTCCTCGCCATCACGATATCGATTCTCGGTCTCTTGGAAGTCAGCGGGCTCTGCTGTCCTTCATCTTGTCTTGGTGAGCCGCAAGCACTCCGCTCTGCCTTGATGGCGTGCAGATGTAACCGTGGTCACGCGAAGCTAGGCGAACAGCTCGCAGAACGTTGCGAGCTCCATGTGTTGGTACTGTTCTTCCAATTCATTCCTCCCTGCCAGTCATTAGCTAGGGGATTGAAAGAGTTGATTCACCACTGACACGTTCTGGGTGGTAAGAAGTGATCCTGGCAAGCACTTGGGGTTGAGAACGGTGTCCCAAAGGGTAGCCACGCCAATCCGCTGACGCTCGTCCGAGGCGTGAAGCGACACTGACAGAAGGTAGACTCAACCAGAAGGATCTGGAAGTCGGCTGCACAGATCTCGACTGCTGTCAGGTCCATGGGATCTGTCGGTTGGACAAGGTCGAGATCCCTCTGTTCGCATGGATTAGGCTTCGAAATCGGACTGAGCCGCTTTGCAGAGTCTGTTATGACATCTGTCACGCACTGTGGCGGACATGCCTTCGGTACGCGGGGTTCGACGGTTCCTTGGATGAGCCGGCATATCCAGCTTCTGAGTCTGGTGATCGATAATGAGGGCCTCCATTCCTGCCCGCGATTTCGTCACGCGCAGCTGAAGCATTCATACGCTCAGCTCTCACATTTCAGGAGGGTCGAGTTGGCGGAAGGACTATTGTCGGATGCTGGTCGATACATCTTATTGCGTCCCCATGCCTGGCGGGCAGCATTGACGTTCATTTGACCGGCATAGTGTCAACCTCATGGTGTTGCCTTGCATGGCAAGGACAGGTGGTTGAATTGCGAACCAACGAATGAACCTCGTCAGTTTGATGACCGCGATGAACAGTTCCAATGTACCCCTAGCCTACTAGATGCGGTTGTCGTGACCCATTCTGTTACCTCGATTTGAGCCGAACCAGTTGCCCAGCGACCCGAATTCTAAACGCTGTACCCCTCTTTCAACCATGCCATTGAAGTCTCGTTCCAGCAGCTCGTTCTTGTCAACGATCTTCTCGATGGATTGCGCCTGAACGCTTTCCCGATCAAAGACTATTATTGGGATAGGGTGAACAATGATTCCGACTGTGTTTTGGCCGCTTGGTGTTGTTACCCGATTCGTGTAACTACTCGTGTTGATGCGGGCTCAGTCGGCCCCGAGTATTCGAACCAGATGCCATACTTGGTCTTGGTGGTGCCAGTGGAAGCCATTGCACATCCTGGTAGCAGCCGCATTCGATGAGGCCGTTCGGATGCGACTGTTTGCTGGACCAAGGACTAACGGAGGTACCGGCCGAAGGCATTCTTATCCTCGTCTTCACTGTTTTGAAGATAAACGGAGGAAATCGAACGCAGTCGCGGTCTTTGCCAAGTCGCTGGCGGCTCGCCGCAGTCCGAGATTCGCAGAGCGAGCTCCCGCAGCGGCCGGCGATCGCGACAAGGAAGAAGGAGGGGAAGCGCGTCGATCTGCTTCCGATGCGCTCACACTTCTTCCACTTGTCATTGACAGTTTTGAAGGCGTGCTATTCGCGTTTGACCCCAGTTCTGATTTCGTGGGTTCTCTGACGGGGCTTCGAGTGGTGTTGTCGACGAGCCATCGCAGCTGCTTGGTGGTGATCTGCACCCTATTGTCTCCACGGCGCGGGATCCTCCTTTTGCGAATGGTGCGAGAAACGATTAACGGTTCGAAGTTCATTGAAATGTGTTGTTGCGTTGGAGTGTGTGGCAGCGCTCAGGAACGATCCGCCATCAGTCCGCCGTACGTACGCTGTTGGGGCAACTCGGAAGATAACAGATTAGACCAACTGCCACGTCTCTGATTCGACGACGACGGCATTTTTTGGTTGTTTCCCTATTTCGGTCGGTCAGCTGACTGCAGTGTGGTTTCAGATCATGGGGCTTTGAGTGGCTTCAAACAATTCACAAACCGGGGCGAGCTCTATCCCGGTCCCGTTCTTGGAGCACATTCCCAGTCGCAGGGTTTCACAGTTGGCAGAACGGGTGACGCGATGTCACATACTACCAGTGCCGCTAGCCAGAAAATAGTGTCTAAGCTTCTGCTTTGTGATATCGATCATTTATGGCGGCGCTCGAAAGCTTGCGATGTCCTTCTGAGGCACAACATACGATTTCTGCCAGTCATTAACTGATTGGTGGTCGTCGGGAATTGGGATTTCCACATACCATGCACTTGTGTATTCAGGTCATATGCACACTACTCTAGGCCGTACAAAGAGTTTTCGAGATTAGTGTCAGGCAAGGCAAGGGGAACGAGGCACATACCCGAACATAGTCCCGTTTTTGCACTGTTGAAAATGAAGGCGGGTCTTGATAGCGAAGGGGTCAACTTGACTGGGCAGCCGCGACATTTCGAGTAAACAGGACTTTTTTCAAAAGGCCCAAATTTCTTCTCGTTGGCTTTCTCAGCTCAAACAGGACAACGCAAGATGATAACCAGACGGTCAATAAAGAGGAGTGTATCTTCACGCGGTATTGTCAAAGGAACTGTCCGACAGTCCTGTCTGTATCAGTATACTGTAATGGAAGAGTTAAGGGGTGATGAATAGTGGAAGGAGAACTCATCGCCTGTCTGCTGATAGTAGTGTGTGGCGCTGTCAAGTCCGAACAACTAGAGCAAAGGACCGGAGGAGTAGAGGGTATTTATAGACATCTCGACTTGTCCCGTTCCTCATATGGTTGATAGCACCAGTTTGACTTTCTACTAGCAGTGGCAACCGTTATCGTAATTCTGCGTGTAGCTATCCAAATCTGAGGCCCGTTGAAATCATATTTACTTTCAATATTCGTTAATTTGAGTGACGCTTAGAATACCAACTTGAGACTCTCGCCAGAGTAGCCAAGCTCATGTAGTGTAGAAATAGCCGCGATGAGTTTATGGACATGGCATCATTTAAAAAAGGGTTGATTGACGAATAAATTTTGACCTCGAAATGCCTCTTCGAGGGCTATGATCAATGAAATGATTGGAGCTTCAGGGTTTACCCGGTTCTTTCTGTTCACAGTTCAAATTTGACTCAACAATCACATTTTCAAGAACCGAGAAATAATCCCTAATTCGATTACATGAACCTATAGGTATGGACACTTCGGCCTGCCAGCACAAACAAAGGCCCTCGTTTTACTGTCGACCCAACGCTGAACTCATCACCGACGCCAGAATAAGCCAAGTATAGCTAACGCAAAGTTGCGGACCTATTTTAGAAAATCTGTCAGTCCGCATTCCAGTACGTAAATAGATATCAGTGATGCGTATAACCGTTGAAGCTGGTGAACAACAGTGACGAAGTATTTCCAGTTAATGCATTGGTGTGGTCAAAATGGAACCAACTAATACCGTAATGCCATCCAAGCGGCCTACCAAATATCCTAGGAATTTTCTTCTCGCCAGGCATTTCTCAAACTTTATTTGCACTTTTCAACGTTCATTTCAACGACTGTGGAAGGTGATTCTCCCTAAACATCTTCACTATATAAGGCAATTATCAAGTTATGGATCCAAAGGGGCGCCCCGCCTAGATCGACACACGCCATAGTTCGAAGTGGGGTGCCTTGTGAGATTGGCTGCAACCTCTAGATCGTATACTTCAACAGATATTGAATCACCTCAACTGGCGGCAAAAATGAAATATTTTCTGCGGAATTACAGCATAGTCCATCATCTCTCCCATAACTCTGCATACCTAGCAGCTACGAGCGGCCGAAGGCGAAAAGGTATGAAAAGTTTTCGTAGGTACAGTACAATTCATCGGCTATGAAGAGTGGACATTCACTAGGGATGGCTCAACGTTGATATTTGCAAGCTTCCCCAGCCGCAGAGCCCCACTTTCAACTCAATTCTCCACCTTCAGCCATTCTCAGGGAATGAATAAATATAGCACTACTCGAGCGAGTGGCCACTGATAAATTTCCTGCTGGCACGTTTTCAAGTAGCAGATAGGACCTTCCCCTCAATCTATTTCAGAAATCCTCTTTTTTGACAGCCCCCCATCCTCGACCACGTCAGAGTTCTTTCGTTAACAATAGCGTAGTATAACAGGAAAGCCGCTGAACATCGCTGCCGCAAAATTTTCAGGGATTACCAAAAAAGGGTTGACAGTTTAGAGGGAAAGACCTACTCCTCAGACCCCACGGGCTCCTCGAAACCTACAGGCTCCTCGAAACCTACGCGCTCATCTCGTACGAAGCTAGGATCCACCCCCACAGAAAATAGTCGGGCATCGTCTCCAGCTGCAAAGCCTAAGAGCAGACACAATCGGAGGGTTCGGTTTGAGCCCATTAAAAGAAGCCGGTCGCCGGAACCGACTCAATTCAGTCGGAATAATCAGGCTCAGTCTGTAAGCAGTCAGTGAGTGCCTTTTTGCGCTATACGTTGCAACACCACGTTCTCGGCGAGTCCAATTCCTAACAGAAGGGGCAGACCGATCAGACAGGAGCAGAAGGAAAGGAGCTGCCCGACTAGACGAATGAAGTGAGTATTGAAGTC